TAAAGAATTATTGAGCATAGTATGGAATGTAAAATATTTTAAACCTTATTTAATAGGAAAAAGATTTGAAATCCAAACAGACCATAGACCACTAATAAGTTTATTTAAAGTAAAAGATCCAGAGAGCAGATTATTAAAATTTAGATTACAATTAGAAGAATTTGACTACAATATCGTTTATATAAAAGGATCGACAAACGTAATCGCAGACAGTTTAAGTAGAATAGTAGTAACTTCAGACGAATTAAAGAAAATGTCTAGCGAGGAAAATTGTAATGTGTTAACAAGAAAACAAAGAAGGAAATTAGAACGTAGGAAAAGCGGAAGTTCTCAAAGTAATTCTGATCGAAGGACGTCCGAAACATCAGAAATACTGCGAAAACCAAGCGATGATTTAGAAATACCGATAATATCAGAATTATTACGTAAACCTATAGATAGTGTCGATTTAATATTCGAAACTCGAAATAATATAAATAAGAAGTATACAAAATATGATAAAATAAAAAACGAAAAAAATGTTTTAATTTTCGTTCCTTGTAAGAATATATTAATTATAGATTTAAGTTTCAGACAGCATTTTACTCGAGCAGAATTTGCTGATCAGTTACAAGAATTTTGTGAAAAATTAAATATAAAAAGTATAAATATGATAAAAGAAGAAGATAAGTTAACGTTGATAACAGAACTAAAAAAGGAAATAAGTAGTAGAAGTACGTGGAAGGGCCCACGAATAAATATATTAAGTAAAGTTAAAAGAATTACAGATGAAAAAGAAAGACAAAAGATACTTAATGATTATCATTTATTACCAACTAGTGGACACGCAGGTATTAGGCGTATGATTAATAATATAAAACGAAAATATACATGGTGTAATTTAGATTTAGACGTAATTAAGTTTGTTACGACATGCAAAAAGTGTCAAGTTATGAAACATTCGAAAAACGTAAAACAGCCTTTAGAGATTACAACGACATCATATAAACCGTTAGAAAAGATTTATTTAGATTTACTAGGTCCTCTACCAAAAGATGAAAATGATAATGTATATGTACTAACGATGCAGTGTGAAATGTCTAAATATGTACTTGCTTTTCCGTTAAAATCAAAAGATACAATTTCTGTAGCAGAATCATTTGTTAACAATTATGTATTAATATACGGAATCCCGAGTTGTATTGTTTCGGATCGAGGTACAGAATTTTTAAGTTCAACGATGAAAGAAATTTGTAAATTATTAAACATAGAAAAACTACATTCGACAGCATATCACCACGAAACAATTGGTTCTCTAGAAAACACACATAAAAATTTAAGATCATTTCTTAGAATACAAACAGAAAAGTCGAGATATGACTGGGCAAAATGGCTGCCATATTGGTCCTTTGCATTTAACACTACAGTACATACTGAAACAGAATACACACCTTATGAACTCGTTTTCGGTAAATTATGTAATCTACCATCATCAATAACACATCATCCAATAGATCCAATTTATAATGTTGACGATTATTTATGCGAACTTAAATACCGGTTAAAAATAGCACATAATCACGCAAGAGAAAACTTAATAAAACAAAAAGAAATACGTAAACAGAAATATGACGAAACAATAAGACCACAGAGTTACAAAAAGGATGATTTGGTATTGATAAAAAATGAAACAAATGATAAAAGTCAACCAATTTATTTAGGACCATATAATGTAATAGAGGACCTAGGTACAAATGTCAGAATACAAAAAGGTAACATGCAAGACATTATACATAAAAATCGAACAAAGTTATATAAGGAAAAATAATATTTGTTTTAAACGTGTAAACAAATTTTTATAACGAAATCATGCTTTGAGCAGTTAATGTTTAAAAAACCTTTTTACTTAGAATAAGATAAAATAGAGCGCTCTATCTTAATTTGTAGTTTCATAAGTTTATAATTGCTCGAGCAATATTCACATTAAATATATAAATAAATATATATCATAAAAATATATATACTACAATATGTTAATATTGTTAAATATTTATATAAAATAATTTATTATACAAACAAATACATTTAAAGTTAAGATTGATATGATTAAATGCTTAGACTTTGTAACTCTATATTTTTTTTTTGTTAAGATCATTCATTCTGTGACTTAGAATACTGACACAATGTTTGTTATCATAACCCGAGATTGTTTTGACTAGACATTCCAATGTATTACACTTGTATCGATCGAAAATATTAAGTTATATTGTACCAATGTCAAAGTTAAAGAATAAAATTTTAAAAGATGAATTGTTACTAACGAATGAAATGTAATTAAGGTTTATCATTTTTTTTTTAATATTTTTTTTATTGTAAGGGGGATGATGTGGTGTATTATGACACAGTTAATAAACGTCGCTTATCGTGAACGAACGTATTTTATTTAAATAAACCCGATCCGAATATCAGAATTTAAACTTGCCTTTAAAATAGATTCAGCAACAGTGGAAGAGGAATAGAGGAATGGAAGAGCTAAAAAATGTTATCTGTATTAAGAAGTGGTATTTAAATAATTGTGTGTAATAATGTTTAATAAAATTAAATTTATAAGAAAAGGTGTATTATTTAAAATTGAAACCTTACTATTATTTTGCATATCTGTACCATTCTCGAGTCAATGGTGACTAGAAAAATTTCGTAAGCATCCGTTGATGCCACTACGACAACTTTGATCTTAAAAATTATGAAAATGTCAAATTGATAAAATAAAACAAAGAAAATATGTTTTAGGGTTTATATTTTAAAATAATATAAAATATAAAACTAACTACTACTAAATCTAATAATTCACTTAAAAATTATTGTCACATATTTTCTTACTTATATTTCTAATTAATTGTTCCGTTTGTTCCATAATTGGATCATAATGTTCAGCCACTACATACTGACTGCTGTACAGTATTTTTTCGTTGTCACTTTCACTTTGCACTATACTACTGTTTTCCAAGTCAACAATCTCCACTTTGATGAGTCGAAAACCTCGTTTAGGTTCATTAGTGTAAATGTAGGATCCCACACTATGTACGTTCGATCTTTTCGAAGGCACCACTGCACATTCTTCTTGAGCTCCACGTTTTCCCCTTTTCTTCTTTGGTTCTCGTTGAAGCTTAGCCAACTCTGGGAACATTTCGTCAAAACCAGCAAGAGGATCCTGAGCATTTTGCTCAAACAAACTGCATGAAATAATTTCGTTTTCCATTTGTAATTTAACTTAATATCGTGTTGATATCACAATGACAAATTGTGGAATGTTTCAGAAACCACATAATTTGCCAATAAGGTGATGTACCTACTGACAGTACAATAATGCTGACTTAATAATAAAATCAAGTTCATGTAGCAAAGCATATTCAGCAATATTTATTTCCTGCAGTTATACCTAAAACCTTGATTTGATTTTAAACACATGCATCTATTAAATGTAAAGTTATATATGTTAATTAATAATAACAACCGGAATTTTAATAATACTACACTTCTTTATAGAATTGTAGTTACATTAACCCTATTATAATAATTTATAACAAATAGTTAAAGTACTAATGTAACTTACCTAATATAATAGAATAACCTAAAAAAGAGACATTTTAAAACGTTAACCAACATAATAAGCCAACCGTTACAGTATATTAGAACTACTTAAAGCAGTAGTGGATATTCTATCAGATGATATCAATCTTTTATCATCATTACCAGAGAGAGCAATTTTGTTAACACCTCTCGTAAAGATTTAATGTTTGATGGATTTAAACAAAATATTTTTTTTACGTATTATATTCGCGTTTAAAAGTACTGATTCATAGTCACTCATATTCAGGTCGCGAATAACATATGATTTGACCCCTTTAGCTTTTTTATAACTTTATCGAAAGTTTTTATTCAATACAGTTTAGATCTTAGCCCAATAAAATCAGATATCAATTGTCCTCCCATTTCATCTTTGAATAATCCGCCAGGCTAATAAGACAGGCTTTTTTATTTTTTATAAACTTTGGTAAGTCTATAAAAGTTCAAAATGAGAATTATGTAAAAAAGTCCAACCACTATCTTTACATTGAAATTCTTCTATATTCTTAACCAGAGAGTTTCTTATATTTAAATAAAGATCATTAAAATTATAATTTAAATGGATTGAAAAATTTTTCGTTGCAAATGATTTAAGTTCCTCTCTGTCGTCTTTTATTAATAAAAACATGGAATATAGTTCAAAGTTGACTTTAAGACAGATATGAATTTGCAATGATTCATCTAAAAGGACTTCAACTTTAAAACGAAGAATATCTAAGAATGAATTTATAGAATAAAGTTCCTTGCCTTCACGGGCTCCTATTCTATAAGCAGCAATGCGACCACGAAATGCCGACTTTATTAATTGTACCCCATCGCAATAAGGAGAACTATTATTGTTTTTATGCTTGTTACTTCGTAAGTGTCCTACCCAACACCTACTGTAGTGGTGGGTCGTTGTCAAAATTTTCGACGACGGAACGCAACCGTTTCTTTATAAATGAAAACTAGTTGTCGAAACGGTTCTCGTTCGCAACTGGTTTGAGATTGATGTGGGACTAGGACGGATGACGACGGACGAACGAACGCGAAACGTAAACTTCAAAGCACACTTATGGAAATCTCGTCGACGTTCGTCTCGACAAGTGAACGGTTCCGGAGTTGCGACTATTGAATTTTTATTTTAAATTTTAATTTTATTCTTCCGTTTCCGTTTTTTAATTATGAATGAACTCCCCTTCATACTTTTCCAGGCTTATGACTGGCTGGTAATTATTTTTATACCAGGCGTATTTAAAAGTTCATTTCATTTTATATACATTTAGAATTTTTTACACATATTTACACTGCTGTACATATTTTTTTTATATTTTTTTTGTATTTTTATAGATGTAAGAATTTTTATCGTACCTATTTACACATTTTTTGTTTAATAAATATATTTTTTTTCTTATTTAAATTTTGAATCGTTCCTCCGACATGTTGACATTTAGAAACATAAGCTTCTGTACTTTTCTGGTAGTTAATCTGGTCCGACGTTGGTTAATTATTAATCCTGACTTGGAAAACATCCGTTCACAGGGAACGGATGTTGCTACGATGTTACATTGGCGTATATATAATTTAGCCGAATTGGGGTAGACTGCACGGTGGTTCCTCCACCACTCTAAAGGACAATTCCAATTACCGGCAGAATTTTTGCGAGGCAATCTCTCATCTGTCAAATACATGTCCACTTCCTTGATCGCCCGGGACAGTGGAGTTCCCTTTGTAGATTTTCCAAGTAACTTGTCAAAAATTGACCATGGGCTTAGGTCGTTATCGGGCTGCGGACACGGCTCTTGGTTTTGTTCAGCAGGAATAAGCTCTGCTCTCTGTCTCTCATCTCTGCTTATAATATCTGCCACGAGCTTTTTTACATGCTCTTTAGTTCTTGTGGCCTCACTTTCTTCTTCAAATCCCTGCATCTTGAATCTCGGGTCCATGAATGTACAAATAGACAAGGTTCTGCTTTGCTCTATATGTTTGAGTCGATCTAATAAACCGGCTTTCAAGAATAGAGCAATATCACTGACAGTTTCTGAGCTTGCTTTTTCGATCGTAATATTTAATGCCTCTTTAAGGCATCTCGTCATTACAATGACAGAACTCGCTGTTAAATATTTTTCACCACTCATGGATCTTGTGAGCTCTTCAAATGGGCGCAAAACAACGATAAGTTCTTCGAAAATACTCCAATCTTCTGCTGTTATTTGCGGCAAGTCCCGATCGATCAGAGCTATTGTAGAACGCACAGCTTCTTTTAACTCCACAAATCTACTTAGCATATAAAAAGTGGAATTCCACCTCGTGTCCACGTCTTGAATAAGGTGCTTGGGTTGAGAAGTGTTTTGGTTAAGTTGGTATTTTGCCAAGCGCTCTGCCGATACTGTACTTTTTTTGTAGTGGGTCACGATTTTTCTGACCTTATCAATTTTTTCTTTGCAGTATTTTAAAGCGTCATCCACGATGAGGTTCAACGTGTGCGCAAAACATCCAAAATGTTTAAAGCCTAATACGTCTTTTATAGCCTTTACAACATTCGCTCCATTGTCGGAAACTACAAAGTTAACTTTTCCCTGTAAACCCCATTGATCCACAAGAGCATTTATTTCGGATGCAATATTTTGAGATGTGTGACTGCCGGAGAAATGGCAACATCCCAATAAAATCGTCCTGAAAACAAAGTCTTCAGTAAGGTAGTGGCCGGTAACCGCAATGTAGCTCTCTGTGCATCGAGAAGTCCATAGGTCAGTGGTCAGACAAATTGTTTGAACCTCACTGGTTACTTGGGTCTTTATTTCTTTTTCTGCTCTGAAGTAAGCTTCGTCGAGGAGGGAATTCGACAAAGTTTTCCTTGTGGGTAATTTGTAGCCAGGTATCCATCGGCAAAATTTTATAAAAGCTCGTTCTTCTACTATGGAAAACGGATGAAAACTGTCTACACATAAATCCAACAAGTCTTGGTCAATTTTTTTTTTCTGGTCTGCGCTTATTTTTTTATGCATAAAGAAATCAATTTTTTGAGCCTTTTTTGCTGGAGGAGGAACTAAAATCTGAGTTTGGGCAGCTCTGGAGGTCGAAGGTTGTGATTGGTCGGCAGGCACATCTTCGGCGTGACCGCGAGTTTCGGGATTTTCTTCCTCAACTAATGAGGAATATGTGCCAATATGTTTTCGTTTTAGATGATTTCTCAGATTCGTTGTTGTAGATTTGTAACTTAAGTTTTCTTGGCACAAACGACACTTAGCTTTTTTATTCACCTCGTCTTTGTCATAATGCGACCACAAAGCACTAGCGTTTTTTCGCGTCGACGACATCGTGAAAAAGTATTATTTACAATCACACTAATTACACACTTAGGAGGTCTCTATTTACACAATTTTACAAGTAATATATAGTATACATCAATAAACATTACAATATAAGTAACTTTCATACTTTCAATTTAATTATACGCGAGCTTCAAGCAATCATACACGCACGCACAATAAAATTTAAGCAAACTAAAAAATGTAAACAAACATTTAAACTGCGAGTGAACTTCGCGTCTTCGTTGCACATTATTATTGCTAAACGACCTTGCACTCTATATCAATCGTGGTACAACACACAGCAATAACCACCGCGTTGCGAACGAGACGTAAAATTGAAATAATTAGGGGTCTCATAAGAAACACGGTCTCACACCTTTGGGATAAGGAATAAAGGTTATTTTATTATATCATAGATCAAAACGAACGAAACGAACGATGACGTAACGATGCTCTCATTGCGTTATAGACTGTATCAGGGGAGGTTTTAAGTAAAAAATTGCGTGGGACCAACCGATGACTAGCTGTGCGACGAAGACTGTTTTGGAACGAAACGTAAAGCAGTTCCATCTTCGCGAAACATAAAACGGTCCTTTAAAACAGTTCGTCTTTGCAACGCCCACGCCTAACCTACTGTCTATTGTCGTATTACAAGATGTACAAAAAGGCATTATTACGAATAAGCGGTTGACTATTAATAAAAAAATTTAAAAAATCTATTATACTGAATCGATATGGGATATTATGATTGTGTTTAAAAGTGTCTCATTAATAATAAAATATAATTTATTGTTTTAATTTATTTTACGCTACGCTTAATCTCTAATTTATCACCATAAAAAACAGGATTCGCTTCCTCAAATAAGAGGTTCGTTTCTTTTACAAATCGCTGTAAGTGTTTCCACTGCGTCGAGTCGTTTTCCAGTAAACAGTTCAATCGCAGCAGAGCCTTCTTCCAGCGTTCGTCTGGGAGACTGGTTTCAACGTCGTCTCGGTGGTACACTTTCAGTTCCACATAGAGGTCACCGGTTGTAGAGGTGTATCGACGTTGGGAACCGTTCGCAACTTTGTTTACTATAACCGACGACAACTTCGAAGACTTCACCTCTGTCACTTCGGTGTCTTCCTCGCCGTCACATAGGCCGAAAATGTCCACCACCTTTGGCTTCTTGTTGGTACTTCTGAAAATAATTTTAATATTTATCAGTGTTTAATAAAAATATAATATATAAACCGGTATTCTTCTCGTGATCTGTAAAAAGTAATGTAGCGAAAAAACGTAATTAGGTATTACCGCAATTCGAACACAGTATTTCATTATGCTAACAACATAAACATATAAGTGAACAATCTACAGTAAAATATGTTAAACACAAACCTTAGTATATAGCTTTTTAGTTCTGATTCGTTATAATAACTGTAAGTGTTTGTTTATATAATGTACTGAAATAAAACATCTTAATAACAACAAACAAAAAATAGATTTTACCTTTGTGAACTGATGTTGCTCTTACGCTTATTTGTTGGATTTTTCTTTGCGCTTTTCGCGATTGGCAGCAGCGCTCTTGCAGCTTTGTACTTGCAAATACTTGTGAAGAATGAATGAAAATTGTTCGAAAATTCGGGGTTTTATTTAAAAAAATACGCTTGTACAGCAGTTTGTGATTGTATTTAAAAAGACGTAAATACATATTCCGTTGTTGATTTAGCAAAATGTGCCTTATTATTTTAAAGTTATAACTCATTAGCATCATATCGGATGACTCGCGCAAGTTAGTAAATCAATTTAAAAAAGACACAAATCAATATCGTAATCATGACGGCAATATGAACTGTATTGCTTACAAATTATGAAGACCGCGTGGTTGACTGGTTAACAAGAGACGGTTGTATACTAAGTTTATCCGTGATAACTCGGACTTATTATCACCATTAATAAAAAATAGTTTTATTAGATTATATTGAAACTATTTCTAAAAATTTTCATATATTTTTTTAATCTCTATACGAAAAACAATTACTTTAAATAGCTTTAAAGTAATTTGCATAAAAATCGTAAATACATTGAATAAGAAGTGAAGAATAAATAAATATTATACAACATTATCACATCACGTATATTGCTCGGATTCCAAGATGAGTAGCTAAAAATGTACTTGTTTTTGAAACATCGAAGGTGCCATTAACATCTGGAACCTGATGCAATATAGAAAAAATCATTTTCTACATTGACCCCACTGGGAACCGAACCCGAGACCTCAGTGACGTTGACTACGGAGGTTTTTTAATATTTTAGTATTTATTCTTTATCTAGATACATCGATGCATGTAACTTATAATAAATAAATATTAGATAATATTTCACATTGACTCGACTGGGAATCGAACTCAGGAACTCAGCGGTGGCAACACATTGAAACCGATGTGTTAGCCTATCGATAGTATTAATATTAGAAGTTCATTTTCTACAATGACCCAAACAGGAATAGAAACCAAAACCTAAAAGATAGTGTAGCGACCAAAATCACTACCATATACGCTGCCGCTTATAAATGAAGCCAGAGTCGTAAATCATACGATGATCAGGCGATCTATTGTTCTCGCGACAACATCGAAACCTGTCCGGCCGTAAGGACCGCCTCATGCATCGCTAATTGGTGCACGGCCTAGAAAGGGGCGTTCGACGCATCCGCAAGCCACTTCCTACCAGCCCCCGGCGCGGGCGCAGGACAAAATGAATATAAGGCAACGCCGGATTGACGAACTACACTTCTTGCTTTGCTTTCGCCGCCTTTAATTGCTTAAAAATAACTCGCGCTTATCGCTTTTTTATGTTTCTGTTTCTTGTCTATTTTAATATAAATGTTGGTTTTAAATTCATGTATATCTTTCTATAAAGTAAAACGTTTCTGTAAACTCGTGACGTGTTTTAATTAGTAAATATATCGTGTAGTCTATTGTGCGTATTAAATATAGTAACGAGTTCGAGTCCGTTGCAACAAATTTGGCAAGGGGTTTTACAACGCATATCAACCCCTTCACTGGTGACAACCGACGTTTGAAGAACGATGAACGACAAGGACGAGTTTGCAGAGGCGTCATCGGAACATAACAATAACACCGGCAGTGGTCCAAGTGCAAGCGGAAATATGAGCGATGTTTATCGTGTGGGTGTTCGAGTGCCACCGTTCTGGCCTGAGGAACCTGAGGTCTGGTTTGACCAAGTGGAAGATCAGTTTACACGATCTAATATTACTAGTGACACTACAAAATTTTTTTATGTGATTGGTCAATTGGATCATCAATTTGCAGCAGAAGTTAAAGATATTATAGTGTCTCCGCCAGCCATAAATAAATATGAAAAACTGAAAGCAGAGCTTATCAAGCGCTTGACTACTTCTAAAGAGCGAAAAATTAAACAACTACTTATGCATGAGGAGTTAGGGGATCGCAAACCGTCCCAATTTTTACGTCATCTGCAAAGTTTAGCAGGAGCTACCGTATCAAATGACCTCATGCGCACTATTTGGGCTAGTAGATTACCTTCCAACTTACAAACTATTGTTGCTTTACAGAAAGACAGTTCCCTCGAGGCCGTGGCGGACTTGGCAGACCACATACAGGATATTTATTTATTTATTTATTTAATCTTTATGCCTATAACATAGCAATGGCGGACTTAATGCCAAAAAGGCATTCTCTACCAGTCAAACCGGTGAAGGTGTACAGAGCATTCAAAAGGCGGTATCATAGAAGAACAAAGTTACAATTTATAACTAATTATACCAAGAAATTATATATAAAATACAAATATATACATACACACTATAAACTTATATAAAAAATACATAGACATACAAATATATATATATATATATATACATACTGATAAACGAAGACTAGGACACACGAATTGATTGGAGATAATATTCTCGTACTTTTCTCTTAAATACGAAACTGTTTGACACATTCCGGATATTCAAAGGAAGTGCATTCCAAAGTCTTATGGCTGTGAGGGTAAAAGAATCCGAGACAAACCGAGTATGGTGAGCAGGAGTTTGAAGTACAAGATTGCAACTGGAGCGAAGTTCCTTCGGATGTGAGACTCCTAAGAATTGAAACCTAGATTTCAAATACTCAGGAGTATGTGGATCGTAAAGAATTTTGAAGAGAGAACATACTATTCTCAAGAACCTGCGTTCACGGATGGGCAACCATTTCAGTTGATTACGAAATTCAGTGATATGGACGTATTTACGTAGACCGAAAACGAAGCGTATAGTATTATTCAGTAGACGATCCAATCTGTCTAGAAATATTTGGTTCATGTTAGAAAAACAAACATCAGCATAATCAAAGAGGGGATGAATAAGCGCCTGCACGAGGACAATCTTAGTACTGGACGGAAGAAAATTTTTTAGTCGGTACAAAGCCCCAAGAGTGCCATTAACTCGTCTACTGACACTGTCCAAGTGCCCCTCCCAAGACAAAGTACGGTCAAAGACTACACCCAAGTTTTTCACGTTTGAAGAATAAGGAATTACCACCCCATTATATAACAAAGGCGGAGTTGCATTCATATTAAGTAATGAAATCAGCCTTGGACTACCAATAATAATAGCCTGGGATTTGACAGGATTCACAGTAATTCCAAAACTTTGAGACCACTCCCAAATTCGAGATAGATTTTGATTCAGTTGCAAAATGACCCTATCCAAATTCTCAAGTTTATCTTGAGCATACAATTGCAAATCATCAGCGTACAGATGATAAGAGGTTGAAAGAGTAGATGTGAGAAAGTTTATAAATAAGGAAAAAAGAAGTGGAGAAAGAACGCCGCCTTGAGGCACACCAGCAATTAAGTCAACCCAATCGGAAAGCGATTGATCAACCCGTACTGATTGCTGGCGCCCGCGAAGATAAGATGAGAACCAAGCAAGCACAGAGGAAGAACATCCAAGCTGAGCGAGAAGAGCAAGTAAGACGTCATGGTCAACTGAGTTAAA